TCTGCTTGTTTGTTTTGGATAACACCATTACTGAGATCTAATTCACATATAAAATTCACCCTTTTAAAGTATACAATTCAATGTTTTTTAGTATATTCAGAGTTGTACAACCATCACTCAGTTTTAGAACATTTCCATCACCACCAAAAGAAACCCTGTATCCTTTAGCTATTATCCCCCAAGTATCCACATTCTCCTTCCCCCCACTAACCCTAAACACAAGCACTAACCTACTTTCTGTCTCTACAGACTTGTCTACTGTGGTATTTCATATAAATGGAGTCATATATCAATAATATGTGTTTTTTTTGTGTGGCTGAGTTCTGTTACTTAGTATTAGGTTTTTAAAGTTCATCCATGTTGCAGCAAGTATCAGTACTTCATTCCTTTTTATGGCTGAATAATATTCCATTGTATGGATAGACCACATTTTGTTTATTTATTCATTCATCAGTTGATGAATATTTGGGTTGTTTCCACTGCTTGGCTATCATGAATAGCTGCTATGAATATTAATATACAAGTTTTTATATACACATGTTTTTATTTCTCCAGAAGTGCAATTGCTGGATCAAATGGTAAAAGTATGTTTAACTTTTTGAAGCACTATCAGATAGTTTTCCAAGTGACTACATCAAATAACATTCCTACCAGCAGTGTATGAGGTTCTGATTTTTCCACATCTTTGACAACATTTGTTTTTTATCTGAATTTTTTGTTATAGCCATCCTGATGAGTGTGAAGTGGTCTCTCATCATCATTTGGGTTTGCATTTGATGGCTAATGAGGTTGAGCATCTTTTCATGCACCTTACTGGCAATTCATATATCTTATCTGGATAATATTCTATTCAGATCTTTTGACCATTTAAAAAAATTGGGTTATATGTCATTTTTAACTGAGTTGTAAGAGTTCTTTGTATATTTTAGATATAAGTCCCTTATCAAATATATAATTTGCAAATATTTTCTCCCCTTCTGCGGATTGTCCAAAATCTGACCCTAACCTACAGTGCCAGCTACAACTCCTGCCTCTTACCATGATAAACTCTTTAAGCCTAACAGTGGCTTATTTCCTGGCCTTCTATTTAGAGTCCCTAAATTCTAACTGAAATTTCTTCTCTCCCTCATAAACTCTAAATAAACTTCCAGAAGAGTGAAGCCTTCTCCAGATGACCTCAATAAGATGATAATCCAATTATCTTTTCATATATGCATCTCCTGTAATATCTAACCTGGTCTTTGCATTTGGTTGACACAAGTACAACTTAATTAATTATGAGATAACCTGCATGCTGTTGACCTATTGACTCTCAGGACAACTGAAGTTCAGAGAAAGATCAAATAAATATGGCCAATACAAGTCAGAGAAAATATCTTCCTGGAAGATGTAGAACTTGAGATAGGATCTTACATAAACAAGAAGTTATCTTTTTATAGACATAGTTACATATTCCAATGGCTAGCAATACTCATTCCCCTGCCAATCTCATTCAGCGTTTAACCTATTTCCTAAAGTACAGCCTTAGGAAGAATAAGTACAGCTCTTTCATAGTCTCTACATATGAAAGCGCTTATGAAATTACTTACAGCCAACGTTTTTACTCCAGGCTCCAGCTCACTTCTCCAGTTATCACTCATGTTCTTAAAAGAACCTACCAGGATCTTCTTTAGCCTCATCCTACAACACTTACTTATCCCAGGAAATTTGGATTATGATTAGATTTATTTGAGAACTGAAATAGCCACCTAACTAAACCCTGTCAGTTTATAAATAGGAGATAGCATAGCATAATAGTTACAGAAGATTCGTTAACCTTTCCAGAATCTTATTTTTTCCAATTTCCCTTTTTAAGATAACTGTTGTTCATGACGACTTACCCTAAACTATGATTCTGCATTTACATCTGCAAGACCTTTCAGGATCCTGATGTATAATTTTATGACTCTGAAGAAATATATGCTAGTTTATAGCACCTAAGTGCTCTCCCACGTCTGATCTTGCTTAAATTTCAAATACTCCTTAACCATGCTTGTTCTGCTATCTCCAGTTTGAAGTTCATTTCTTCAGAGTCAAAAAGGAAAAAATATCTGCAGTTGTTAAAAAGAGTGGTTCAAACAGTATACAATTGAGAACTGAAAAAGTGAGATGTTTTCCTTAGTTCAGTCACACTGTGTCTGTGGCTTCAGCCAAAGCTCACAATCAATACTGACCCCATTTCCTCATCTGTATAAAGAAGCAAGAACGGGCAACTACTGGAACCTTCCTCCATGTTTGTCCTCAGTAAGTGTACTTCCCACTATCCAGTTGAGCTACAAATCTTTTAATATTCAAGTGGCTCCACACCACCATCTTCTTTGGTAAAGTCAATTTTCTCCTACCCTGAGGTTTTTCAGCCCATGTTATTGCTAGACAACCTACAGAATTCTCATAAAGCCTAAGAATCAGTCATTTTCCTCACTCATATATGCAAATTTCACAATCTTTTGCAAGAAGTTCTATAGGATTGTGGACTTTGATCCCCACCATTATTGCACACCTTTGTCATTAAAACCCAAACAACTTGGGCAGTGTGAAAGAGGCTATAACTTCCATGTGATGCCAGTCACCAGAGTAGCCTAGAAGTCAAAGGCAAGAATCTATAGTCCTCATAACTGCAGACCCACAGTGAATGGCCCCTCAAGGGGCAGGGAAGACTACTCTTCTCTCTGGGTCTTGCAAGTACACACAAATAAAAACTGCCTGAGCCCTTCTGTCCTGTTCCCTGTTAACAAACTCTTTTGCACTACACACACACACACACACACACACACACACACCCCTCACAATGTGGTTGAGTCAGAAGGGGCTTCAATATCAGACACAAGAACCTCTAAAACTAAGTGCCTCAGAGAGCAGAGAAATCCTCTTTCCCTTTTCCCATGGCCTACTTTATTTAATTTTGAAGCTTTATTGACATATAACTAACAAAATAAGCAGTACCTAATTAAAATGTACAATTTGATGTTTTGACTTATATACACACCTGAAGAGTCATCAGCACAATTATGATAAGGAACATAACCATCATCATTAAAAGTTTTTTCCAGCCCTTTTAATCCCTCTATCTTACCGCTTTCTCATGTACCCCTCTGCTGTTTCAGATATTTATAAGATGTGGCCATCCTTTGGGACTGGGGACTAGAAATCCTACTTTTAACTGGCTCCCCAAGAGATCTCCTATATACCAAGGTTTGAAAAACCCTGCCTTGGGGAAGGAACTTTACATCCTCTTTGAAACATATTCAATTTTGGGCTTCCATCCATGAAAGCATATCTTTTTTTCCTCTAAATGTTTTTAAAAGTCTTTTTTCCTGTTGTTTATGATATACGTTCAACTATTCCCATCATTCTCTTCTTTTATTTTTTTAGAATTCCAAGTCAAGGTAGTCTAATCATTGTAAATATATAGAACTGTGACATATAGTTCTAAGAGAAGATGGAGGATAATACAAATCTCTGAACTTTACAAAGTTTGGAGTAATTTTATAAAAGGCTTAAATTTTATCATACAGAAATTTTCAAACATTACTATATACAAAGTTTCCAAAAATGTACCACATACATTTTCAGGAGAACATGATTCACCTCACAGTGCTAGATAATTAATTTAGAAAGTTATTTTTTGAAAAGTGTTCATCATGGTTTTGTAAGTCAAAATTTCATATTATTTGGACTTCACTGAACACATGCAGTCATCTAGTTCAAACGGAGCTTCTCCTCAATGGGAATATATATGGGGCATGAAATGCTATTACCAAAAACATTAAATAATTTATACTAGTAATATTAACACTGTTGACGTTTTTCTTTACACTATTCTTCAAAATGTTCCTAAAGGGAATCAAATAAAAGTACAGTATTTGGAAAGTCCACTGAATGCGTTTATTACTTGCTGTTGTAATAAAAGCAAACTGAAGTCCCACCTCCATTATTAATGCTTTAAGGTCTTATTTATTCTTTTGATGATTACCACCCAGACAAAATTTTAAAAACATAAAAAACCCTTCAATTTCAGGTAGAAGCATTATTATTTTACTTTTGAGTAAAGGAAAGCACCATGAGTCACTGCCATCAAATGGAAAAATGCCTTATGGTAAATAATGTTTCCTTTTATTGCTGGTGTAAAAGTCCCAGCTCTGAGAGTAACCAGGAGTCACTGCAAGTGATTTTCTGTGAAAAGAAATAAAACTAAATGATCAATGTGGAAACTAGAGTGTAACCCAGACTCAGAGTTAAGCAGGAATTCTCATATCCTAGTTTTTATTGCCAGGCTGCCAAAAGATGTTAAAATTATATGGGGTAAGTAGGAATGAGGATATAACTGAAGAGTTTTGGCTTGGTATTCTCCCTCTCAAGGAAATTATGCAACCTCTCAAAGATATTTGTTTTACTCTTTGATTATATATCCAAAATACTTCTCTGAATTGTATAGGTTTATTAAATCTCTGTAACAGAGTAAGGCACTCTCTAAGGTACTTCTGTGATTTCTAGAAGAGTTAACTGAGTATAGCAAGATCCTTGATCACAGTGTTTTGACATTTCTTAACTAACTGATTCCACGTAACACCAAGATGTCTCAACAGCATTTCATTTTAAAAAGCTAATACGTTAAAAATTTTGTTGGAAAGATTTGATCATTATTCATTTACTCATTCAACAAAAATGTTTTGAATGTCCACTATGCCCACCTATAGGGTGCTGGAAGATTTAAAACTCCTACTTCTTATTTTCACTAAGCTAGTTTATCCATTGTTGCTCTAAAAAAGGACAGCAGAAGTCCTTATTACTTACCTCTCATTCAACAAGTGTCTCTTCCATAAAGCTTTCCCTGATCATCTCAGCTAGAAATTATGCCTCTCATCTCTCTACCATATGGTCATATATCAATCTTGTACTGTATTTTTTTTAAATTAATTAATTAATTTTTTGGCTGTGCCTCGCAGCTTGTGGGATCTTAGTTCCCCGGCCAAGGATCGAACCTGGGCCCCCAGTAGTGAGAGTGCAGAGTCCTAACCACTGGACCACCAGGGAATTTCCAATCTTGTACTGTATTTAATTTAGTTTCATATCTTATCTTTCCATTTAGTCCATAAGCTCCTATACAGCAGAGGCCCTAACTCTACACCCCTATTCATTCATTCATTCATTCATTCATTCAACAGGAAAGACATTGAGCCAGGCATTATGTGAAATTTAAAGGTAAATAAGACACAGGTACCATCATCAATTTGATTTTAGTTCAACTGGTGAAATAAGACACGTACACAATTACCACAACATGATTCCTATGAATTTTTGTACATCTAAAAATGCGTTGAGTTGAAGGCTTTTCCCAGCATTCCTGGCCCCTGCTTCTTTATATACCTCACATAATTTAACACGATGGCATGGACAAAGTAGAGACTAAATAAATAGGTGCTGGATGAATATTTGTTGAGAGTACTTTTTAAGATTTTACTGTTAGGCCCATCAAATTTACCTTTTTGTTCATGCATTTCATAAAGCTACCCACTGTGATACTTTATTACATTTGTATTTTCAGATTCTGGTGGCTCTTAAGTATTAAAAGGAGACAGAAATATTAATAAAAATGTGAGGAAACTATGTGTAGTAAGAAGAGCATTGAGCTTTGAGTCAGGGAATCCACTCTGGACTTTCTTTCCTCCATTTCCTAGTTCTATGACTTGCATCTTGACCTCTGACTCTAGCTCTCAGTTTCTTATTTGTAAAATAGGGATAACAATTGCCACCGGACAATGTTGTCATAAGGCACAAATGAAAGAACGCATTTGGAAGCACTTGGAAAACTGCAAAACATTTTTGAAATGATACTGTGAGCTCCCAGACTGCTTATGGCTAGTAAAGAGTAGCATGTAGTCAAGCACAATGAGAACTTCCCTTGCTGCTATGGATTGTCAGCCTGACTTGCCATTGACACCTTATCAATTTAGAAAAGTCACAATTTGTCATTGAATTTCAGTCTTTCTAGACGCAACCTGAAAAGATGCCTTATACAGATAAAAGCTTAGCGGGATTCAGCATTTGATGATCCTAACAATAGTTGTAAAATCTTCAGAAATCTTTATAATAAAGGTAATAGGCAAATACGGCCTTGCTAGTCACACATTTATAGTAGCTTTCAATTACAGAATATTTTTATGTGTGAGGCAGTGTGCAAAGTGCTCTAAAGACATTTTCTTAGCGTGGTATGTGGCTAGAAATCTCAAGTTCCAGTCAGAAGATGCCACATCACTTGGACTGCACCACAGTATACAATGGGTTATGGAGTGTGAAGATCTGGACTCAAGTCTAGTCCCTTAAAACTAAATGATTCTAGTACCAGGCTTCTCATCCATTTTTTAAAAAATGGCACCAGTGTTAGTCTCTGTCACATAGGTTATTATGAGGATTGAATCTAATAATTCAGTAGAGCGTATGCAGAGTGTCTGGCTCAATTAGTACTTTTCTCATCTCTTTCACCTAATAGCAAATTACCTTGAGCAAACTACTTAACCCTACCAGACTTCAATTTCCTCATCTGTAAAATGTGGATAATAATAAAACTTTGTCACCGTACTGTTGTATTAAATTAGATAATGTATAATCTGGAAAATAACACAGATATTTTAATTCATATTATCACCTCATCCTCTTTCTCTTCTGCCACTTTGCTCTTCATAATAACCACAGTAAACTACCAGGATATGCTCTCTGGAAGGAAATTCTGGAATAAATTAAAATTCCAAGAAAACTGCATTTTATCACCAAGAATAGTTATCTCCCTTGGGCTATGTATGTTTCACATCAACAGCAGCCCCAGAGCCATCTAACTTGACAGTACCATTCCATGTGGATTAGTGTCAACAAACCTTGAGATACAGTTGGCTGCAGGACACCTGAGGCCCATCTCCTCTTCTGCTGATTCGCTGGACAGCAAAGAACAGCATTCTCAGATGTTCAACCATGCACCACCCACCAGGCCTAAAAAAGATTACAGGGGGGGTGAATATGAGTTCCTTTCTCATGACAGTAATAAAGAACAAGGGAGTAGAGAGGCGTCCTGTTGAAGTGAATAAGTGTTATGGGAAGAATTGAAATAATTAAATCATTTTTTGCTCACAGCTCTAAAGGTCTGGGCTCACTGACTTGTACTTTGACAGCACTTCCTGCTCAGCTGTGTATATACTTCAGACACTTCCAAGTTTAGAAGATTCAAGACATTATGAAGTGTCATTTCTTGAAGAGAGGCCACACTATTTGTTCCTCATCTAATAAATGCCAGTACCAGACAAAAGGAAATACTTATACATACAACCAGAGTTGTATGTGCTGAATAGCTCACGTACAACTCCTTGAATTAGATGAATGTAAACATTAGTACCAGACTGAAAGCAGGAGCAAGATGGCGGAGTAGAAGGATGTGCACTCACTCCCTCTTGTTGAGAGCACTGGAATGACAACTAACTGCTGAACACTCATCGACAAGAGGACACTGGAACTCACCAAAAAAGATACCCCACATCCAAAGTCAAAGGAGAAGCCACAAAGAGACGGGAGGAGAGGCGCAATCACAAAAAAACCAAATCCCATAACCACTAGGTGGGTGACTCACAAACTGGAGAACACTTATACCACAGAAGTCCACCCACTGGAGTGAAGGTTCTGAGCAACACGTCGGGCTTCCCAACCTGGGAGTCCGGCAATGGGAGAAGGAATTCCTAGAGAATCAGACTTTGAAGGTGAGCAGGATTTGACTGCAGGACTTTGACAAGATGGGGGCAACAGAGACTCCACCCTTGGAAGGAACACACAAAGTAGTGTGCACATCGGGACCCAGGGGAAGGACCAGTGACCCCATAGGAGACTGAAACAGACCTACCTGCTACTGTTGGAGGGTCTCCTGCAGAGGCAGGGGATAGCTGTGGCTCACTGTGAGGACAAGGACACTGGCAGCAGAAGGTCTGGGAAGTACTCTTTAGTGTGAACCCTCCCAGAGTCTGCCATTAGCCCCACCAAAGAGCCGGTAGGCTCCAGTGCTGGGTAGCCTCAGGCCAAACACCCAAGAGAGAGGGAATCCAGCCCCATCCATCAGCAGACAAGTGGATTAAAGCTTTACTGAGCTCTGCCCACCAGAGCAACAACCAGCTCTACCCACCACCAGTCCCTCCATCAAGAAACTTGCACAAGCCTCTTACATAGCTTCCTCCACCAGAGGGCAGACAGCAGAAGCAAGAAGAACTACAATCCCGCAGCCTGTGGCACAAAAACCACATTCACAGAAAGACAGACAAGATGAAAAGGCAGAGGGTTATGTACCAGATGAAGGAAAAAGATAAAACTCCAGGAAAATAACTAAATGAAGTGGAGATAGGCAGCCTTCCAGAAAAAGAATTCAGAATAATGATAGTGAAGATGACCCAGGACCTCAAAAAAAATGGAGGCAAAGATCAAGAAGATGCAAAAAAGGTTTAACAAAGACCTAGAAGAATTAAAGAACAAATGCCTAGAAGAATTAAACAAAAAACAAACAGAGATGAACAATATAATAACTGAAATGAAAAATACACTAGAAGGAACCAATAGCAGAATAACTGAGGCAGAACAGATAAAAGACCTGGAAGACAGAATGCTGGAATTCACTGCCAAGGAACAGAATAAAGAAAAAAGAATGAAAAGAAGTGAAGACAGCCTAAGAGACCTCGGGGACATAATTAAACACAAAAAACATCTGCATTATAGGGTTCCAGAGGAGAAGAGAGAGACAAAGGACCCAAGAAAATATTTGAAGAGATTATGGTCGAAAACATCCCTAACATGGGAAAGGAAATAGCCATCGAAGTCCAGGAAATGCAGAGAGTCCCAGGGAGGAAAAATACAAGGAGAAACATGCTGAGACATAGTACTCAAACTGACAAAAATTAAAGACAAAGAAAAATTATTGAAAGCAACAAGGGAAAAATGACAAATAACATACAAGGGAACTCCAATAAGGTTAACAGCTGATTTCTCAGCAGAAACTCTATAAGCCAGAAGGGAGTGGCATGATATATTTAAAGTGATGAAAGAGAAGAACCTACAGCCAAGATTACTCTACCCAGCAAGGATCTCATTCAGATTCGATGGAGAAATCAAAAGCTTTACAGACAAGCAAAAGCTAAGAGAATTCAGCACCAACAAACCAGCTCTACAACAAATGCTAAAGGAACTTCTCTAAGTGGGAAACACAACAGAAGAAAAGGGCATAGAAAAACAAACCCATAACAATTAAGAAAATGGTAATAGGAACATACATATCAATAATTATTTTAAATGTGAATGGATTAAATGCTCCAACCAAAAGACAGGCTTGCTGAATGGATACAAAAACAAGACTTATATATATGCTGTCTACAAGAGACCCACTTCAGACTTAGGGACACATACAGACTGAAAGTGAGGGGATGGAAAAAGGTATTCCATGCAAATGGAAATCAAAAGAAAGCTGGAGTAGCAATACTCATCTCAGACAAAATAGACTTTAAAAAAAGAATGTTACAAGAGACAAGGAAGGACACTACATAATGATCAAGGGATCAATCCAAGAAGATATAACAATTATAAATATATATGCACACAACATAGGAGCACCTCAATACATACGGCAACTGCTAACAGTTTTAAAAGAGGAAATCGACAGTAACACAATAATACTGGGGGACTTTAACACCCCACTTACACCAATGGACAGATCATCCAAAATGAAAATAAATAAGGAAGCACAAGCTTCAAATGACACAATGGACCAGATAGATTTAATTGATATATATATAGGACACTGCAATCAAAAACAGCAGATTACACTTTCTTCTCAAGTGCTCATGGATCATTCTCCAGGAAAGATTACATCATGGGTCACAAATCAGGCCTCAGTAAATTTAAGAAAACTGAAATCGTATCAAGCATCTTTTCTGACCACAACCTATGAGATGAGAAATCAATTACAGGGTAAAACAAGTAGAAAACACAAACACATGGAGGTTAAACAATATGTT